AAAAGGCTTTGAGATTATAAATTTGCAAATAGATGCATTGGTGCTTATGAAAAACAAAAGTGGTGATCACTGGTGATGACCTTAACAGTTCTTAAAATATTACAGGATATCTGAAAGAATTAATAGACAAGAAGAGATTTTTCAAAGATAATCTCATGAGGATATGTCCAAGCAAAGAATTGTACCAACACACTATTCATCAGTATGACACATTTAGTGCTCATGAATGAGGTTAGGCAAAACTTTAAGAACTGAATATGCCTTCTGTTTCAAGAGAGATACACTAAGACGGTGAATGCAATATACATATTAATAGTTCAGTCATGAGTTGGACAGCTCTAAAATGTCATAGTACCAAGAAAAGATCTTCCAATACTAAAGTGACTGACTCAAAGGATCACAGTTAATGTAAGAAATAATGGGAACAGGTCAGGCGTGGTGGCTCATGGCTGTAATCCCAGCACTCTGGGAGGCCAAGGCGGGTGGGATCACAAGGTCTGGAGTTAGAAACCAGCCTGACATGGTGAAACCCCATCTCTACTAAAAATACAACAATTAGCCAGGCTTGGTGGTACGTGCCTATAATTCTAGCTACTCAGGAGGCTGAGGAAGGAGAATCACTTGAACCCAGAAGGTGGAGGTTGCAGTGAGCTGAGATCACACCACTGCAGTCCAGCCTGGGCGACAGAGCAAGACTCCATCTCAAAAAAAAAAAAAAAGAAAGAAAAGAAAAGAAAAAGAAAAAGAAACAATGGGAACAATAGAATATTGAATGAGTTGTGGAGAACTGACCCAATACATGGTAAGTATATGATAATAAGTTTATATGAAGACTGTGCCCGAGAAAAGAACAACCATCAAGAGCACTGAAAACTCTATCTGAAGATCACTATTATCTTAATAAATGTGACTAAAAGACCAAAATGCTTCCCTGTGAAATCACCAGCAGATAGTCAACATCCAAATAAGAAGGAAATTGCTCTAACTCAGGAGTTCTTAACTTAGGATTCATTATGGTCAAGGCTTCAAAGAGTCTGTGAACCCTTTGGAATTTCACCCATATTTGTAGGTGTATTTTTCTACAAGACGTATCCACAGCATAAATTAGATTTTCATAGGGTCCTCAGATCCAAAAACATAAGCATCCACTATTTTAAAAGCGGTCACTGTTAATCTATGTACAAATATCTAACTAGATTTTAGATAATCTAAGTAATAAATCAAAAGTCTAAAATGAAGAAAAATATTTTTGACTTTTCTAAATTACTCACAAAATTTTTTTTTTAAATGTAAACTGGAGTTATCCTAATTAAAGGAAATGCCAACCACAGAGTGGACACTGATTGAAGGTTCACATAATAAATATTTTAGGGATCCTAGTGCTATGATAATAGAGTTTATTTTTTATTTTTATTATTTGTTTTGAGATGGAGTCTCACTCTGTTGCCCTGGCTGGAGTGCAGTGGTGCAATCTTGGCTCACTGCAGTGTCCGCCTCCCTGGTTCAAGTGATTCTCTTGCCTCAGCCTCCTAAGTAGTTGGGATTACAGGCATGCGCCACCGCACCCAGCTAAGTTTTGTATTTTTAGTAGAAACAGGGTTTTGTCATGTTGGCCAGGCTGGTCTTGAACTCCTGACCTCAGGTGATCCGCTTGTCTGGCCCTCCCAAAGTGCTTTGATTACAGGCATGAGCCACCACACCTGGCCTATTTTATTTTATTTTTTGAGACAGGCTCTGGCCCTGTCGCCCAGGCTGGAGTGCAAATGGCACAATCTCAGCTCACTGCAAGTTCCACCTCCCAGGCTCAAACCATCCTCCCACCTCGGCCTCCCAATAACTGGGATTAGAGGCACACACCACCACACCCGGCTAGTTTTTTTGTATTTTTGGTACAGATGGGTTTTTGCCATGTTGCCCAGGCTGGTCTTGAATTCCTGGGCTCAAGCAATCCTCCCACCTTGGCCTCCCAAAGTGCTTGGATTACAGGCATGAACCACCATGTTCAGCCAGTGCTATGATAATAGTTTTCTTTTTCTTTTTTTTTTTTTTGAGACAGAGTCTCCCTCTGTCACCCAGGTTGGAGTGCAGTGGTGCGATCTCAGCTCACCTCAACCTCTGCCTTCTGGGTTTAAGCAATTATCCTGCCTCAGCTTCCTGAGTAGCTCGGACTACAGGTGCGTGCCACCACACCCGGCTAATTTTTTATTTTTAGTAGAGACAGGGTTTCACCATGTTGGCCAGACTGGTCTCAAACTTCTGACCTCAAGTGATCCGCCTGCCTTGGCCTCCCAAAGTGCTAGGATTACAGGTGTAAGCCACGACGCCCAGACTATGATAATAGATTTTAAAATCACCTAAGAAAGAAAGATTAGATTATTTGGAAAGATTTATTTTCCTTGGATTAAAGCGAGATTGAAAATGGCTATATTGGCTTGGTGCGGTGGCTCACTCCTGTAATCCCAGCACTTTGGGAGGCCAAGGCAGGCAGATCACAAGGTCAAGAGATGGAGACCATCCTGGCCAACAGGGTGAAACTCCGTCTCTACTAAAAATACAAACATTAGCTGGGCATGGTGGCGGGTGCCTGTAGTCCCAGCTACTAAGGAGGCTGGGGCAGAAGAATTGCTGGAACCCAGGAGGTGGAAGTTTCAGTGAGCTGAGATAACGCCACTGCACACCAGCCTGGAAACAGAGCTAGACTCTGTCTCTAAAGAAAAAAAAAACCACAAGGCTAAATTAGGACATTTCTCTGGTCATATTCATATATTATTCCCTTGTTTCCTAAAACAAAAGATGGAAGCACCAGGATAAAAGATAGAACGTTGAAAGAACTAAACAGTTTTTAAACAAAGGTGATAGTATTTTGGAAATGAATAGGTACATTTTGGGTTATTACAATGATTAGGGCTACTCAGGGATACAGGAATGCTGGATGCACAGGACTGATTCTGCACATGTCAGGACAACAAAAAGACTGTTCCACATACTGTCTGTCATTCATACACCCTGCTGGACTATTCACATAAATTTAAAAGAAGTATCATTAACAGAGCCAAGGAACTAATATCACTGTACATATTTTGCAAAGCATTTTTTTTTTTTTTTTGGAGACAGGGTCTCACTTTGTCACCCAGGTTGGAGTGCAGTGGCGCGAACACAGCTCACCGCAACCTCGACCTCCTGGGCTCCGGCAATCCTCCTGCCTTAGCCTTTCGAGTAGCTGGGACTTCAGGTGTGTGCCATCATGCCTGGCTAATTTTTGTATTTTTTTTTGTAGAGTCTGGGTTTCACAGTGTTGCCCAGCTGGCCTTGCACCCCTGAGCTCAGGCGATCTGCCAGCCTTGGCCTCCCAAAGTGCTGGGATTACGGGTGTAAGCCACCATGCCTAACCATGCGAAGCATTTTTTACAGTTTTAATTTCTAAGACTACAAGTACTAGGATCTACTATGTAAATCGAAGTTAGAATTACTTTTTTTTGAAGTTTCTCATTATTTTGGAAATCATGCCACCACTGTCAGCACTGTTCTAGGACCACTTCAATCAGTCTGCACCTGCTGCTGCTCCATTGAGGGTTCCTTCCGTACGGCACAAACCCCCAGCATACTTCATTATGTCTTATGGCATAGTCATGTCCAAGCATTATCACTTGAAAAACACAAACATTTCTTCTTTTTACATTCAGTGAGGACATCGTACTGATTTAAAAAGATTCTCTGTATAAAGACCATTAGGGAAAAACTAGTAAAATCCAAATAAACTGTGGTGTTCAGTTAGGAGTACTGTCTCAATGCTGGCTTCTTAGCTATAACAAATGTGCTATTGTCCTGGAAGATGTTAGAAGTATACTTTTACTATCTTTGCAAGTTTTCTATTAAAAAAAGGATTTTGTTGTTGTTAAGTTTACCTTTAGAGACATATAGAAATTTAAAATTTGGAAAACTGTCCCTTCATTTGTGTTACTCTCAGTTTTTTGAGTGTTTTTTGTTTGTTTGTTTGTTTTGTTTTGAGACAGGGTCTTGCTCTGTTACCCAGGCTGGAGTGCAGTGGCACAATCATGGCTCACTGTAACTTCAACCTCCTGGACTCGAGAGATGCTCCCACCTCAGCCTCCCAAGTAGCTGGGACCACAGGCACAAACCACCAGGCCTGAATAATTTTTGTATTTTTGTTTATTTTATCATGTTGCCCAGGCTGGTCTCAAACTCCTAGACTCAAGTAATCCTTCTGCCTCAGCCTCCCAAAGTGCTGGGATTACACGCCTGGCCAGTAACAGTATACTTCAACTATTAGTTTGAATTACTGAACTAGACATCTTTATATGTTAATAATGGTTAAATGTTAGCAAGTTCATACAGTTCACACTAGAACAGTCTGGGCCTAATTAAATGGATTGTATTACAAAGTTGAGAATAAATGTACTTATTATTTTCAAAAATAAAAAAAAATCAGTTTGATCTACTGCGCATATGCACCTTCACTCTGGCAACTTCTTTGCATGGTTATACTATATTATCCGTGATTTTAATTTGAAGTTAGTAAAGGGAAATGTTCCAAAATTATTATTTAAAAATGAGTAAAGGGTCTAAGAGGGCTGAAAACCACTGAAGCAAACAAAGCATTGATAAGCAGAAGAGACAGATTACAGCACAGTTTTTCTGAGAAATGTATACCAAATTCCGATTGAAAAGGACAAAAAGGAAAAAGCCAACTATCTGTAACCTTTCCTTACAGATAGTCTTCTTCTTTTCCAATAGGTTATTATTCAATAAACCTCTTTCACTGGTAGATGAATCTCCAAGTAAAAATACGTTGTAAAAGAGGACAGGACAAGGTCAATTTTGGCTTTGCGGAAGGCCTATAAAATTCCTGAACACATTCAGCTTCTGAAAAAACAGGTTCGGAGCAGAAACTTGACGGCAGTAAAAAGTTTCCTGAAAAAAACAATTGGCAGGTGTACTGGGGAAGAAAAACCCAAAAAACAAACAAACAAACAACTCACCTGTGCACAAATCTGATGCATGACATGACCAAACTCATGGAAGTAAGTCCTCACCTCGTCGTGTCTCAGTAGAGAGGGACGACCTGCCACTGGCTGTGAGAAGTTCACCACGAGGGCAGCCACTGCCATCATCCGGCTTCCATCAGGCAGAAGGCAGCCAGGCTGGAGACCGAAGCAGGCCGCGTGATTGTATTTTCCTTCCCTAGGAGCCATAAATATGCGTTGGCAAGACAGGAAAATTCTCATCTAGCAACTATATGGCATGGCCTCTTCCAGTCATTAAACCATATCTGTTCCTAGAGATGCTTTTAAACATTAGTTTATCTTTTAGAAAGTAGGTCATTTTGCTAAAATGGAAAAACTAAAACCAAACAAACAATAAACCCACTATCATTTTGTGTGAGTCACAGCTCCAAAGGTTCTTTTGTTGAAAATCTCAAGGTAAGAATGAAGAATGCATGTCACACCGACAGCTGAATGTCCAATTTATTTTAATGAAATTCTACTTTTCATTTTCAAAGATGGGATTATTAAACACTAAACAATGTTAAAGCACACATCTGAAATAAAAGATACGGTTGGATTCACTAGGTGACCTTTTCATTAAAATCAGAATTAATAAAAAACTGAATTTCAGACAATAAGGTTTTTCCTTTTATTTGAGAAGTAAAGAATCGATACTCACAATTAAATGAGCTTCTTTTATAAACTAGACAGGTCTTTTTGAAACAGAATGCTTTTAGTTAGCCTGGGAAAATGCATAAATTATACCACCAATTAGTCTATTCTTACACAATGTAGTATCCATGATGGTCTCTCCAAAAGATACTAGACTTCATTCTCCAAAAGCTATTAGTTCATTCTAGGAGTTGATGTCCTTTCCCCATTTTCTTTTGCTCAGAAGACTCATAGTCCCTGGTCTTTTTTTTTTTTTTTTTTTTTTTTTTTTTTTTGAGGCAGAGTCTTGCTCTGTCACACAGGCTGGAGTACAGTGGCACAATCTCAGCTCACTGCAACCTCCTCCTCCCAGGTTCAAGCAATTCTCCTAACGCTGCCTCCTGAGTAGCTGGTATTACAAGCATGCACCACCATGCTGGTTAATTTTTGTTGCTGTTTTAAGATGAAGTCTTGCTCTGTTGCCCAGGCTGGGATATGGTGGCAAAATCCCAGCTCACTGCAACTTCCATCTCTAGGGTTCAAATGATTCTCCTGCCTCAGCCTCTAAGTTGCTGGAATTACAAGCACCTGCCACCCCGCCCAGCTAATTTTTGTATGTTTAGTAGAGACGGGGTTTTGCCGTGTTGGCGAGGCTGGTCTTGAACTCCTGACCTCGGGTGATCTGCCCTCCTTGGCCTCCCAAAGTGCTGGAACTGCAAGTGTGAGTCACCGCACCCAGCCTAATTTTTGTATTTTTAGTAGATATGGGGTTTCACTATGTTGGCCAAGCTGGTCTTCAACTCCTGGCTTTAAGTGATCCACCTGCCTCGGCCTCCCAAAGGGCTGGGATTATAGCCACCGCACCCGGTCAGTACGTGGTCTTTTTAAAACCTATTCTGAATACCCTTTTTAAAAGTCAGTTGGGCAAATAAAACAAGTTAAACTCTTTTACCTTTATGAAGAAAACATGTAAGACGACGGAAAGTAAATATTAACTAGGTCGCTATTTTCACAAAGATTACTCTCTGGTACCCATACTAGGGTGCTGGTAGCAATGACCAGATCTCTGAGTACAAAAGAAATCAATCATATCTTGGCAGTGAGACAGCAGAATGAGGTAGTAAGAATTGTTCTTCCACCCTGGAAAGAAAGTCTGAGGACAGTTACAGGAGACTCCAATATTAAAGGATTACTCCTGAAAGAGTTCTTGACTTAACACTATATCCTGACACGTTTTAGTTAAAAATAAACTCATCTTTATTTGGCAGGGTTTTACTTTTAGGACATAACGTAAGTGAAAGTCAGTCCATAAAGTACCAGGTGATATGGTTTGGCTGTGTCTCCACCCACATCTCATCTTTAATTGTAGTTCTCATAATCCCCACGTGCTGTGGGAGGGGCCTGGTGGGAGGTAATTGATTTATGGGGGTAGTTAACCCCATGCCATTCTCATGATAGTGAGTGAGTTCTCACAAGAGTTGGTGGTTTTATAAGGGGCTTTTACCCCTTTGCTTGGCACTTACCCTTCCTGCCACCACATGAAGAAGGATGTGTTTGCTTCCCCTTCTGCTGTGATTTTAAGTTTCCTGAGGTCTCCCCAGGCCTGTAGAACTGTAAGTCAATTAAACTTCTTTCCTTTATAAATTACCCAGTCTCAGTCACTTTATAGCATTGTGAGAACAGACTAATACACTGGGATAATCACTTAGGTGCTAAAAGACACTTCTGCCCACCAACTGGCTGACACAGGTACTGAACCTACTTTTCAAAATCAGTGTATTACAAACTCGTATGTATTACTGAATGAGGAGGATACTATACTCTCCTTTGGTCTATTTAGTAAAATGATTAGTAACTGTAACAGGTTGACTTTGCTTTAGAAAGTAGCCTGTGGAGAAAGAAATGCAAGTCCTTTTGTGTCTGATGAAACACTAAGGAATCTATAGTTACTACAGGTTATAGACACAGTAACAACATTTTTATAATTCTTACCACTGATGTCTGGGTGACATGATTTCCATATAGTCTTTAATGCATAAAACAATCTGGTAAAAGGATTTTCAGTCCCATATTACAGAGGAAGAAACAGAATCTCAAAGAGGGTATGTCACTCAAGCATTCAAACTCAAATGTGACTGACTGCAAAGGTTTTGCTACTTCTACTAAACTGTTGCCTCTCAGATTGAAGGGTGTGGCCATAGATGTAAGAGTAATGGCAGACAGATTACCTGATAATAAACATTTTGGTGGTCAATTTTATTTTATTTATTTATGTTTTTTGAGTTACAATCTTGCTCTGTCACCCAGGCTGCAGTGCAGTGGCACGATCTTGACTCCAGGGTTTAAGGTATTCTCATGCCTCAGCCTCCCAAGTAGCTGGGACTATAGGCACCTGGTTAATTTTTGTATTTTTAGTAGAGATGGGGTGTTACCATGTTGGCCAGACTGATCTCGAACTCCTGACCTCAAGTGATCTGCCCACCTCAGCCTTCCAAAATGCTTGGATTACAGGTGTGAGCCACCATGCCTGGCCAGTGGTTAATATTAAATTAAGTAATATTGGCCAATGGTCAATATTAGATTAAGTAAATGTAGTAAACAAACTAGATGATGATGATAATGCCAATGGTAGCAGCTAACTTTGATTAAGCCTTTACTATGTACTGAGTAGTCTTCTAAATGCTTTGCATGTATTTAACCAATCGAATCCTTACCATGACCATACAAAGCAGGTACTAGTAGGACTCCCTATAATATAGGTATGAAAACTGGGGCACAGAAAAATGAAGTAACTTAACTAGTAAATGATGAAGACAGACATCGCAGCTTTGGAGCCCACATTTTAAACCTCTATACTAAAAATCCCATGTGAGAAATATGAAAGAGTAGAGTCTTTTTTATTTCTTAATTTTTTTTTAGAGATAGGGTCTAGCTCTATCACCTAGGTTAGAATGCAGCAATGCGATCGTAGCTCACTGTAACCTTAAACTCTGGGGCTCAAGTGATCCTCCTGCTTCAGCACAGTTAGGACTGCAGGTGTGCACCACCACATCTAGCTAATGTTTAATTTCTTGTTGTTGTTGAGACACCTAAAAAATAAATACATAAAAGCATACTCATTTCATCAAATACAGTACTTATTTGATTTACTTGCTCTGTTACCAAGGCTGGAGTGCAGTGGCACAATCTCGGCTCACTGCAGCCTTCACCTCTGAGGCTCAAGTGATCCTCTTACTTCAACCTCTCAAGTACCTGGGTGTACAGGGATGTACCACCACACCCAGTGAATTTTTGTAGCAACAAGGTTTTGCCATGTTGCCCAGGCTGGTCTTGAACTCCTAGACTCAAGCAATCCACCTGCCTCAGCCTCCCAAAGTGCTGGGACTACAAGCATGAGCCACTAAGCTTGACCTAATTTTTAAATTTTTGGTAGAGACTGGGCCTCACTGTGTCGCCCATGCTGGTCTCAAACTTCTAGCCTCAAGCGATCCTCTCACCTTGGCCTCCCAAAGCTTTGGTATTATAGGCATGAGCCACTGTGGCTGGCCAAGAGTAGAGTCTCCCTAAGGTCCCTTCCAACAATGTGATCCCCAGTACCTTGGATAGAGGTCCAAATAGAACTGTCCCAATACTTCTCCTGTAGCTTTATCCTTCACAGTATAAAGTGTAACACTCTTGTTCCAAACATGAGCATCTGTCACTTGTTCAAATGAAAGTCCCAACAACTCCTGGTAGGTGTTCAGCAAGCCTTCGGTGACCACCTCAATTGGGAAGTATTCCTTGAGAAACTCTTGGTCTATGGAGTACTTGAGTTCCTCTGTCTGAGTCATGTAGTAATGTAGATCCCAGGCATTGATTTTCCCATCATATTCAAAACCCCTCTCTTCGCATTCCTTTTTCTTTAAATTCAAAATAAACTCTCGTTCTGCTTCACCCAAGGGTTTTAATTTCTGGCTTAAATCATCTGTGAAGGAAGTGGGAAAAGTTAAGTGATCTTCTTGCACCTGGGAGCAAGCATACTCATACATACCAACCATGCTTTAGCATGGTGCTTCCTCCTTTGCAGTACTCAATACAGATAAGCCAGGTGGAAAGAGGGAAAAGAAGAGGGAAAAAGCGAGGGAGGAAAGCAGGCTCTTTTATGGAAGCACAATTTGCTCTTTGCGGTTATTGATTTTTATGGTCCTAAACCCTTTTTCTTTTAACACCTCCAAAACTGGGCCATGAGTTCCTCAATTCATCAACAAAGCTGAAATTTATCTCAGAGAATTCTGACTCAAGAATGTTATAATTAGGCTGGGCGCGGTGGCTCACGTCTGTAATCCCAGCACTTTGGGAGGCCGAGGCAGGTGGATTATGAGGTCAAGGGATCGAGACCATCCTGGTCAACATGATGAAACCCCGTCTCTACTAAAAATACAAAAATTAGCTGGGCATGGTGGCGCATGCCTGTAATCCCAGCTACTCGGGAGGCTGAGGCAGGAGAATTGCTTGAACCCGGGAGGCGGAGGTTGCGGTGAACCGAGATCGCGCCATTGCACTCCAGCCTGGGTAACAAGAGCGAAACTCCGTCTCAAAAAAAAAAAAAAAAAAAAAAAGAATGTTATAATTTAGGGAACAAAGCAATAGTGAAATAAAACTCATATACATGATTATTCTTCAGTGAAATTAGACTCCTAAGAAAGCTAGGGAAAACACATCAGATGTAACCTATGGTCAGTGGTATCCAGAAATTCCTATCAATGCATTCGACAGCCATGGGTTTAGTTTCTCATTAACCCATTTCTATGAAGATGGTCTATCTGAACACAGCAATTCCAGTTTTTAGATGGAGAAACTTTTGGGAACTACAAATTATATTGCTGTGGTCAAATTTTCATTTTACTGTATTTGGTGAAATGAGGATGCTCTTATGTATTTATTTTTCACATTTTGTTACATATGTTAAGATAAAAATGTGCCTGGGCCTGCAAAGGATATGGCAGTTCAGGAGGCAACCCCACAATGTGAGAGATGGAGGAGCAGCCAAGGAATGCTGTGAAGAGAAATGAGGAAACTCAGGGAGGATACAAAGATATAGTTTTCCATATATATATGTGTGTGTGTGTGCCTACACACACACACACGTACACGCACGCACACACACATGTACATGCACGCGCACGCACGCACGCACACACACACACACACACAGAGTTTTGCTATGTTGCTCAGGCTCGACTCCAACTCCCAGATTCAAGAGATTCTCCCACTTCAGCCTCCCAAGAGGATAATTTACATAGAAATATGCCAATTTCAAATTAGAAGGAAAACTCTCTTAAATGAATCAAGTTAATCAGGTGGTTACTAAGGAAAATTTCAGGGTATGCAATCACCACTGAAGGAAACATTCTCTACAAACCTGTTAACTCTCTGAGCCATCCTCTAATATACCATGCATCAGACCATAGAGCAATTATCTGTCCACACTTCTGTTGTTTCTAGTAAGTGATAAGTCCATTGAGAAAAGGACCTTGTCTCTTTTTTTTAAAATTATTTTTATTTTTAGACACAGGGTCTTGCCCTCTCACCCAGGCTGGAGCACAGTGGCGTGATCATGGCTCACTGCAGCCTTGGACTCCTGTGCTCAAGGGATCCTCCCACCTCAGCCTCCCAAGTAGCTAGAATTACAGGCACGTGCCACCATGCCTGGCTAATTTTTAAATATTTTATAGAGACAGGGTTGGGGTCTCTTTTTTTCCCAGGCTGGTCTTGAACTCCAGGCCTCAAGCAGTCTTCCTACCTCAGCCTCCCAAAGTACTGGGATTAGAGGCTTGAGCCACCACATCCAGCCAAAAAGACGTTGTCTTATTCCTTTCTGTAATCCTACTATTTAACATATTGCCTAAGGCTGGACAGTTATTTCATAAATGTCTCATGAATGAATGAGTGAATTATACAATAACAAATATGTACCATTTATGGAGTTTAAATTAATGTTAATATAGTTATTAGATAATAGTTTTGATGTAATCATTTTATATTATAGTTTATTAGGTAATAGTTTTTATGAATATTACTTTTGTATATTAACAAGCGGTTTCTGGAATATTAAATGATTTTAGTTTATATATGTTCTATTTTCATGTATGTCATATTTGTCAGCTTATTTTATACAAATTCATAAGCAGCCATGTGATGACTGCTAAATACCTAGTGACAGTGAATAAAGCCAGTAACTTTAATAGCTCTGTTAGAACCTAGATGTCATGTTAGAAATTAATATAAAAAGCTCAAACGAGATATAAGATAGAGTGAAGCCAACCCTATACTAGCAATGTAAATAATGAGCAGTCCCCAGAACCAAGCATATTCTCTAACACATAATAGGTGATCAATATACTTCTCTCGAATCAATGAAAAGTAGGATGTCCTCAAAGGCATATTATGTTCTGAGGCCTTCTGTCCGGTTGGCAAGGTACAGCAAAACAGTCAGAGAAAAAAAAAGAACTAACCTAGAAAGGCTGTTACGTGGCTTGTACTCTTTGCAGTGTTCATTTCAAGGACAAAGTCAGCATGTGTTTTATAACCGAGTAGTTTGGCCACCTTGGCCCGCAGTGGGAGTAGCTGCTGTAAAATTACAGTGTTTTCCTAATAATAAACAAAAGCAACAAAACAAAGGTTAATCAATAATTTGAACCCAGGAACTAAAAGGAAGAATTACTTGTATGTATTTTTAGTTTTGTGAAACCGTCAAATATTTTTTAGACCATTTAAATTTCGGGTTCCATTTCAGTGTTACAGACTTTTTTTTTTTTCTTTTTGGCTTCATGATTTAGTTTAATTTCAGAAATAATTTATGACTTTTTAAATCTCATGAGAGAACTATGAGGTCTTAGTAAAACTGTAGGTGCTATAAACTTAGAGTGAAAATATATTTTTAAGGAATGCAGTGAACCCATATTTACTTTCACTGACAGAACTGTACCAAATATTGGTACTTTCAGTTCTTTTGCACATTTTTATTGTGGTAAAAAAATATATATATAACATAAAACTTATCGTTTTCATTTCATACCCATTTGTATGGCTACTATTTTTAAAAACACAGAAAATGCGCTGGTGAGGAAATGGAGATGTTGGAACCCTTGTGCATTGCTGATGAGAACGTAAAGTAGTTCAGCTGGCGTAGAAAATGCTCTGGCAATTCCTAAAAAAGTTAAACCATATGATCCAGCAATTCCACATCTCAGTATATAACAAAGATAATTGAAAGCAGAGACTCAAAGAGAGATCTCCCCACCCATGTTCACAGCAGCATTATTTACAACAGTTAAAAGATGGAAGCAACCCAAGTGCCCATGGACAGATGTATAGGCCAACAAAATGTGGCAAGATATACAAAGGAATAGAATTCTGCCTTTGTAAGGAAAGAAATTCTGACACATGCTACAACATGGATGACCCTTTAAGGCAGGCGTCCCCAAACTTTTTACACAGGGGGCCAGTTCACTGTCCCTCAGACCGTTGGAGGGCCGCCACATACTGTGCTCCTCTCACTGACCACCAGTGAAAGAGGTGCCCCTTCCTGAAGTGCCGCGTGGGGCCGGATAAATGGCCTCAGGGGACCGCATGTGGCCCACAGGCCGTAGTTTGGGGATGCCTGCTTTAAGGTATGCTATGTGAAATAAGCCAGATACAAAAAGACAAATATTTTATGATTCCACTTATATGAAATTCCTAGAGCAGTGAAATTCAGAGACACAGAGTAGAATAGTGATTGCCAGGGCCTGGGGAAAGGGGCTAATGGGGAGTTAATGCTTAATGGGTACAGTTTCAGTTAAGGAAGATGAAAAAGCTCTGCAGGTAGATGGAGGTGATGGCTGCAGAACAATATAAACATATTCTCAATGTGAACATAATTCATGCCACATGCTCTGGTCTGAATGTCCCCCAAAATGAATGTGTTGAAATGTAATCCCTTTTGTGGTAGTGTTAAAAGGCAGGGAAGTGACTAATGAATTAGTGCCTTATGAAAGGGCTGGAGCTTAGGAACTTGGGCCTTTTCTGCCCTTCCCCCTTCCGCCAAGTGAAGACAAGGGAAAAAGGCCCTTTCTAGACACTGAATCCTGGTGCCTTGATCTTGAGTTTCTCAGCCTTCAGAACTGTGAAAATTTTCTATTGTTTATAAATTACTTCATCTGTGGTATTTTGTTATAGCAGCACAAATGAACTGAGGCATTATAAAATTCTGCTTTTAAAAATATTTCAGGGGACCGGATGTGGTAGCTCACACCTGTAATCCCAGCACTTCGGGAGGCCAGGGCAGGTGGATCACAAGGTCAGGAGTGTGAGACCAGTCTCACCAAAACGGTGAAACCCCATCTCTATTAAAAATACAAAAATTAGGGGATTGTGGTGGCAGGTGCCTGTAATCCCAGCTACTTGGGAGGCTGAGGCAGGAAAACTGCCTGAACCCAGGAGGCAGAGGTTGTAGTGAGCTGAGATCGCTCCACTGCACTCTAGCCTCAATGACCGAGCAAGACTCACTTTCAAAAAAAAAAAAAAAAGTTTCAGGGATTTTTCCCAAGTTAACATTACAAATATCTTTTACATTTTATTTGTATTACAAAGATTAAAATGGACATTATTTTATTATTTTCTTAACAATGAAATAAAAAGTAATTCTTCTAGAGGAAGTAAATAATGTTAAACTAAAGGAGAAAACTAATCCTAATAATCAAATCAGCAAATTATTTACAGACTGCTTTCTAAGGAAAAACACACACTGAGGTCACACTGCCTATGTTCAAAATTTGGTTCGACCATTTACTAGTTATCTGATCTTGGGCAAATTTTGTAGCTTTCTGAGCCTCAGTTTTCTCATTTGCAAGATGTGGAAAATAAAAGTACCTACACTGAAGAGTAATTATTAAGATTCCAATGAGAATATATGTAAAGTACTTAGAAAAATGTCTGGCACATAACCAAACACTATATAATTATAATTATTATTACCTGTATTTTAAAACTAAAATGGAAATGTAGAAAAGAGAAATACACATAATGTAATTCTCCAAGTTATAAATTAAATAGTTTATTTGGATTTTTCTTTCATTTTTAACAGTTTTTCCAGATCTTCTCTCTAGACTGCCAATCAATTTTCTCCCAACATCTATTGTCTCACTTTTTATTTTAGTAATAAAACTCTGATTTTTTTTTTTTTTTTTTTGAGATGGAGTTTCACTCGTTACCCAGGCTGGAGTGCAATGGCATGATCTCGGCTCACCGCAACCTCCACCTCCTGGGTTCAGGCAATTCTCCTGCCTCAACCTCCTGAGTAGCTGGGATTACAGGCACGCACCACCATGCCCAGCTAATTTTTTGTATTTTTAGTAGAGACGGGGTTTCACCATGTTGACCAGGGTGGTCTCGATCTCTTGACCTTGTGATCCACCTGCCTCGGCCTCCCAAAGTGCTGGGATTACAGGCGTGAGCCACCGCGCCCAGCCTGATTTTTTTTTTAAAGTTTTTGTAGAAATGAGGTCTTGCCTTGGTGCTCAGGCTGGTCTTGAACTCCTGGCTTCAAGCAATCTTCTCACCTTGGCCTCTTGGAAGTGTTGGGATTAGAAGTGTGAGCCACTGTGCATGGCTGAACTCTAAATTTTTGTGGGACACTTGGTTACCTATTATGTTTCCCAGCCTTCCTCAAAGCTAGCTGTGGCCATGTGATACTCAATGGGACAATGGGATGTGAATGAAGTGATGAGTGAAATTTCTGGGTCATATCTGACAGATCTTTGCCTTGCGGGCTGTGAACTGAAGATGACAACAATGACCCCGAAAGCCACACACTGAGGATGGTAGAGCTGTCTTCCACCTCTGGACCACTCACCGTTTGACTTATAGTTACAAGAAAAAAATTTTTTTTAACTGTGGTAAAATCTGCCATTTTAGCCATGTAAAATTCAATGGTGATAATACTCATTCTGTTGTGTAACCACTAACATGATGTGTTGCTAAAACTATTCCATTACCCAAAACAGAAACTCTGTTTAACCATTAACTCCCCGGTCTTCCCTCTCCCATTCCCTGGTAACTTCTAATCTACTTTCTAAAACGAAATACGTTTTATCTTATTTGAGCTACCGTGCTTTTGACTTCTGTAAAGTCCCTTAGCCTGGACCCTGACACACGTAGATATTAATACCAGAAATAGGGTACCACTAACAATAAAAATGAAAAATGTACAGGAATGGAAGGTAAGGACCCAGACACTGCAGGCTGGAAAGCTGGTGATTCTCATTATACCATGGGCATTTGTGAAAACTGTTGTTTGTCATAACTCAGGAGGCAGGCCATGTACCTACTGAGTCTTAGCTCTAGAGAAATTGTTTGGGAAAACTAATAATGTTGGCAGGTGTCTCTGGCATTTGTTGCTTTTAGAAAAATTACATGGGAGAGATGAGCTTGGGTGAGAATTGGCCAGTTTCTAAAGACAGAAGGAAAAGAATTCTTCTCAGGGAGGTTCTGCCTATGGTCCACAATCTTCAGCTGGTTGGAAAAGCCAACTGCTCCATATTTCTAGTGTCAGGAGAACAGGCTGTCACTCAGAGATCCTGAACTGCAGACATGAGTTTGAGAATGCTGCCTTCCTCCACAAGCTCATTATGTTCAGAGGGCCTGAAAGCAGACGTCATTAAATGCAGGAAGAGTGAGATGGATAAAATTCAGAAGCCAATATATAAGATTTGGCAAGTTTAAGGACTATGACCAAAAGTGATACTTGGGTATAGTTATTTTGACATGCATCTGATTAGAGACAAACAGACAAGAAACCTACATTTTTGAGGAAGCTGTATTACCAAAGATATCATAAGCCTGGCCTACAAAAGTCTGTGATTATTTGATCCCTAAGCAACTCTTGGGATTCTACCTGGCATTAACAGGACCAGCAGTCCCCCAAGAGATGGTCATCGAGGATAATAGACCAAAACAATTCCCTGTGGGCAAAACTGGGGGCCATGGAGTACAACTAATAAAGGAATTCTTGTGAGAAAGCAGACCCAAGTTTAGTTCAGCAAGCTAACCAAGAAACTTCACTATAGTACAGAATCTTCACAATTCCTGAGGAATTTGAAAGTTTTAGAAAAATGCTATGGGCTCACTATGTTTCCCAGTCTTTCCTTTTCCAAATGGGAGCTTTTCATGTGGTTATTCTTTTCCTATTCCATCACTGGGGATATGAGGGGAGGGTGTTGGGGTGAAGAGCTGGTAACGTGTCTTTCCTTTTATAGTTTGCTAGACTATGAGAAGCTACAACCACCCAGAGATCCCGGTCTTTGAGATTAAGGCAGTAACTGGGAATTAGCAAATGGTGAATGAGTCTTATGTATTGAAAAAAGGCTCCTCACGGTTACTTGGATAGCTAGAGAGACAGATCATGGTAGAACTGGCTAGACGACTGAGAATCCATGTCTACTTCTTTTTCTTTTTCATATTTAAAGCATTTGTTTAGTTTTGCTGTATGTGTGCGTTGTGAAATCATCAACATAATCAAGGAAATGAACATTTCAATTATCCCCCTAGAAATTTCATCATGATTACCCTCCATTGTGATTCTTCTCCTGCACTCCTTCCAATCCATCTCTAAGCAACCACTATTTCTAGTCATTTTTCTTTTTAATAATAAAACCCCCAACTCTGAGCAAATGGCTTTCCACTAATGACTACATTTCCCAGCCTCTCTTACAGCTAGATATGATGAAATCAGAGTCAATGGGATGTGAATGGAGTTGATGTATGTCATTTTCAAGTCTTCTCCTACGAGATGCTCGCTCCGTGCTCTTCCTCCACTTCCCAACAGGCTAGGAAAGGAATGAACTTGTAAGTCACTTGTTGAGGGACTGATGCCTTATCAGTCCTGGATTGTTGATTTAGGAGAGGAGCAACTTCTGGTTTACTTAACCCACTGCATTTTTATTAGAACAGCTTATCCCGTGACCACACCAAGCAGGTTGCCAATGAGCAATGAGAAAGCTAAAAGTCTTACAAGTCTGAGGAATTAGAGATACAGTGCACACACGAATAGGAATAGCAGTCTCTGAGCTGACTTTGACACTGGCAAACAAAGTAAACCCTTTTCTTAAAATACTCCATTAAAAACGAAAGACAAACATTTATAATACCTCTTTGCACCTTGTATTAAAAGCCATTTCCATCCTTCTTCTGGTTTCAGGGATACAACACTTCTTCATGACAGGGAAATAGTGTGGATATTTTAAGGTAATTTTATACTTGTCGTCATCTGTCTTTTCTAAACTATCAATGAAATCATCAGGAAGAGCACCTGCAAAAAATCATTTTCTCATATATCAAATTTTCTACTCATTACTGGTGTATTTCGCATTGGCATGGTGCCTTTTAGTAACTCTAGGAATTTTGTGGAGTAATTGAAGTTCAAGTAAAATAATGACAATCCTTTTAATATCATTTTGATGTTGCTGGAATGGGGGTGGCTGTTAGAGGCCAGGTACCTTGGGAGATGGTAATTCAAAATATGAACAGGTTTCAGTCAACTTGTGCAAATGATGTTTTAGTGGAGAACATGCAAAATTAAGTCAAGAAGACCCAGGACTGAATGAGTAGAGACTATTTTAAGATACAATGCAGAAAACACTGCAAGGCAAAAAAAAAAAAATTAAGGCACTGAAGGCTGTTAAACATAAGTATAAACTACCAAAAAAAATTTATGGAAAAAAAAAAGATTACTAAGTCCCCTCTGGACTGTCTCTAGAAATAGTATATACTCTCATTAGCCTAAAATCTAATTTTGGTTGATTTGTCTCTTCTGTAGAAGGGGTGGTGGGCTTAGGTACTGGATCATTTTTTAAATAATTATTTGAACTATGATTTAGAAATTTTGTATCTGGAAAGTAAAGCAAACTGTGAGGTAACATTATTTGCCTAAATCATATGATTTAATCTAGAAAAATAACAAAACTTACCAAGTTCAGCCTTGGAAAATACAAGGAAGGTATCATCCTCATTGAGGTTTTTGTTAAAATCAATACACAGCTCACTCATTCTTTTCTTCATTGATTTGATTTCCTGAAAGGAAGATAAATATGCAGGACAATAGCAACAAAAAGAAACTCATTTTTCCCGGGGAGGGTGGCTCATGCCTGTAATCTTAGCAATTTGGGAGGCCGAAGCAGGTAGATCATTTGAGGCCAGGAGTTTGAAACCAGCCTGGCCAACACGGTGAAACCCCGTCTCTGCTAAATATACAAAAATTAGCTGATGTGGTGGTGCATACCTGGAATCCCAGCTACTTGGAAGGCTGAGGCAGGGGAATTGCTTGAAAAAAAAGAAACTAATTTTTATTGCTATCAATTGAGCATGTTTCACTTTTATATGAAGATTGACTTCTGTGCCCACACTTCAGGAAGTGCTTTTGTAGGGATGTGCTTGATAAAATAGGTTTCTGCAGTCCACTATGTCATGTCCATGTGTATCTGTGTGTAGTACTTACAGAAAGGCAAGCCTGGTGATGTCTTAGGAATTTGTTGTGAATTTGAATAAATTTAGGAGGTACAGTAAATGCAATATATTGCATAGTATGTACACAATAAATAGTTGCTGAGTGAATGAATAAATCCAGCAGCCCATTACCAATTAGCATATTTCTTTTTTTTGAGACGGAGTCTCGTTCTGTTGCCAGGTTGGAGTGCAATGGTGAGATCTTGGCTCACTGCAATCTCCACCTCCTGGGTTCAAGCGATTCTCCTGCCTCAGCCTCCTGAGTAGCTGGGACTACAGGCATGAGCCACCAACCCTGGCTTTTGTATTTTTAGTAGGGACGGGGTTTCACCATGTTGGCCAGAATGGTCTCCATCTCTTGACCTCATGATCCACCTTCCTTGTCCTCCCAAAGTTCTGGGATTATAGGCATGAGCCACTGTACTCAGCCCAATTAGCATATTTCTAATCGTTTCCAGTTCAAAATTTTAGTTCAGTAATTGGCATCTGGTTATGAAGTAAACCAAGAGATAAGAACTGAGTAATTCATTCTATTGTTGCTTTGGGGAAAAGTTTTATGGAGCTTTTGTAAAAAGCTGATTTATAGACCCTAAGATGTGCATAGAAAGTATTAGGTGGGAGATCAAAGGAAGCAATAAGAAGAAATCACCAGAAAAAAAAGATACAATTTTATTAATCTGTCCCATTCTTCTAACAATGCTATATAATGAAATTTACTGCTTCTCAAAGTGTGGCCCTGGCTAGGAGCATCAGTATCCCCGGGGAAGTTGTTAGAAATGCAAATTCTTTGTTTTTTTTTGGTTTGTTTGTTTGTTTTTGTTTTGAGATAGAGTTTTGCTCTCCTTGCCCAGTCTGGAGTGCAATGGCATGATCTTAGCTCTCTGCAACCTCTGCCTCCTGGGTTCAAGCAATTATCCTGTCTCCGCCTCCCGAGTAGCTGGGATTACAGGCATGAGCCACCTGTGCCCGGCTAATTTTGTATTTTCAGTAGAGACGGGTTTTTCCACGCTGGTCAGGCTGGTCTTGAACTCCTGACCTCAGGTGATCCACCAGCCTTGGCCTCCCAAAGTGCTGGGATAATAGGCGTGAGCCACTGCACCTGGCCAGAAATGCAAATTGTTGAGATCCCCACACTAAACCTACTAAAGTACAAACTCTTAGAAGTCTTATCATCAGGGTTTTAATAAGCCCTCTATGTAATTCTGATGCAAACTAAATTTGAGACTACTGCCCTAATACACTGTTCAGTGCTGTTTTCTGATTCTCTCTTCAACCCCCTTCTACCTCTGCCCCACTTTGTTCAGATAGGACCTGATCCTATCTGCAACTCTAGGGGTGTGACTTCTACACCAGCTGGGCCATCATTCCATCCTCATTGACCTTGAGACTGTTCAGATAACCCAGACCTGGTATTCCATTGACTAAAAGGAAATTCAGGATTAAAAATAGAATCCACTCTGAGCCATTAAGACATGAGGAAAGGTTTACTGGTGGCTTCTCTATGTCCTTATGGATGGTGGAGTTTTTAGATTTATAGCCATTTTGGTAATGAAAGGAAGTCAGCCTTTAGTTAAAACTAACACTGAGGAAGACAGAATAGAGAAACAGAAAAGTCAGGTGGCCAGTGACTCTACTGTGCATCAGGATCAAACCAACCCATGCAGCTTACCCACCCCAGGCCTTCCAGTTATACAAGCAAATAAATCTCTTGTTTAAATAGGGTTTTGTTAGCTGCAACCAAACATATCTTAACTAATACAGTGCTCATGCTCCCAACAGAATTAAGAATTGACCAGGAAGACAAAGGGTCGGGTAAGTGATATCAATCACATTTCTCCTCTAACTAGGTGAAGGAAGAGGTTATAAGGTGTTCAAAGAGCTTTAGGTGGGAGAAAGGTACCCATGTCTCAGTGGTGCCTGTGGTTATAGCTAACATGCTGACAACACTTGATTTGGATTTCTTCCAAACTTATTTCCAGTTCTGCTGGCTAGAAGAATGACCTGGAAATAAATCATTGACTATATTTCCTGTCAAAGAAGCAAAAAGTTAATTCTGGAACCGAGTTTATTTTTGAACCTGGAAGACCTGACTGGCATTAGACAAAACGCGGTGGCTTGCGCCTGTAATCCCAGCACTTTGGGAGGCTGAGGTGCGTGGATCCCAAGGTCAAGAGATTGAGATCATCCTGGTCAACATGGCGAAACCCTGTCTCTACTAAAAAATACAAAAATTAGCTGGGCGTGGTGGTATGCTCCTGTAGTCCCAGCTACTCGGGAGGCTGAGGCAGAACCGCTTCAACCCAGGAAGCGGAGATAGCAGTGAGCCGAGATTATGCCACTGCACTCCATCCCGGTGCCTGGTGACACAGCAAGACTCTGTCTCAAAAAAAAAAAAAAGTTTGAGAGGCACTTTCAGCAGCTCTCTTCTTTTAAGGGCATGTATTAAACAGGATACTCCATTTCAAAGTGCTGGTTTTAAAACTCTCCATCAGTAAGGATTTTATTATCAGTGCCATATCTCTGTATGACCAAGGGAATAAAATACAAATCAATTATCAGATCTGAAACCAGCTCTTAAAGAATGTAAAACAGGGTAGGGAAAATAAGCTCAACACATATGAAACAAATAAAACTTGTACAAGGTTAAAGAACAATTTTGGCCGGGCGCGGTGGCTCAAGCCTGTAATGCCAGCACTTTGGGAGGCTGAGGCGGGTGGATCACGAGGTCAACAGATCGAGACCATCCTGGTCAACATGGTGAAACCCCGTCTCTACTAAAAATACAAAAATTAGCTGGGCATGGTGGCACGTGCCTGTAATCCCAGCTACTCAGGAGGCTGAGGCAGGAGAATTGCCTGAACCCAGGAGGCGGAGGTTGCTGGTGAGCCGAGATCGCGCCATTGCACTCCAGCCTGGGTAACAAGAGCGAAACTCTGTCTCAAAAAAAAAAAAAAGAACAATTTTAAGTTATCAGTTGTTTGTCAGTCACCATGAGGTTAACAGGAGTTACAGAATTTAAAACCATTAAATACAAAATACATTGTAGATGGATTTATGTTACGGGTTATTTTATTATAACCCATCTGTTTCCCTATTTTCTGTTTTTTGTTGCACAAGTTGAGTAGCCCTTATCTGAAATGCTTGGGGCTTGAAACATCTCAGATTTTGGAGTTTTCTGGAGTTTGGAATATTGCCATTATCACTTACTAGTAGAGCATACCTACTTCAAAAACCTGAAATGCTCCAATGAGCACTTCCTCTGAGCATCATGTTGGCACCCAAAAGTTTCAGGTCTTGGAGCATTTTGGATTTCTGGGTTAGGGCTGTTCAACCAGTATTTTGTTTTATTTATTCATTTTTTTCTGATAAGAAAAGGAAACATAAACTTACATTCTGTACTTGTTCAGGAAGATGGAGCCCATTTCTTTTCCCCATTTTTATAGACTTTTCCAAGTATCGTCGGGCCTCAGGCTTTATTTTCCCCAGATCACAGGTTTCCTGAAATTAAAGAGCATAAAAACCATTTCTGTTGAAACAGTGCATAGGTAAATTATAAACTATGAGGCCACAGCAAATTTATTCATCATCTCTGTTGGGTTTATGAAACACATAGGTGATTATGAGGCAAGCCCTACTGAAGACCTAATTTCTTTTATGCATTAGTGAGCTTCTGCTCATTTAAAACAGAAACATTAAATAAATAAAAAGCTAACTAGAATTTCCTTGCCTTGCATCAGAATCAGGAGTGCCTGTACCACTTTAAAGTATGATAATAGAAGCATTTGCATAATCTAATTCTGAGCGTTCTTTATGACTGAGTAGTCTTTTTCAAAAAACATATTTCTTATTACAAATCATTTGGATTTAATTTTCTATCATTTGCTAACCTGGTTCCAACTTGAAAGGTGGGAATAGAAATAATGGGTAAATTCTACACAAATGAAGAGTGGGACTCTTGCCAATATACCAAACAGGGAGAGCTGGATAAAACCCCAGCAAATGCCTTCCAACACTTCAAAAATGCCTTACTGTCATTTGCCAAGAGAGATCAAGGGACTACAGCAAGCCGCATAGGAACGAGTATCTGGAGAAAATGAGTCAGCAGTGCACAAAGAGGAGGAAAGCCGGACAGTAAATTTGAAATCTGTATGCAGCAGTACAAACAACATTCACTCAAAAGAACAGAGAGCCCTGGAGGGAAATGGAAAATTCGCCCAGCCACAGCAAGGTAATAAAGACACCAGGCGTTTCTCTAAAGCAGGTGGCAGAATACACATGGCACATCTGGATGGCTGGGTAGTTAGTGATCCCTAGGAACAAATGGACTCTGGACAGATTCAGCCGGGGTTCTGGATTCAGTTTGGTTGAAAGCCAATGAGGGACTTTTGTTTCTAAGGCTTTATGGGCTTTGTATTGGTTAAACATTCTCTCCATGACAGACAGCTGGTACAACCCTGAGCATCCCTAATTTCCCAACTAGTTAAATCTGTAAAAGGATTGGTCAGCTGAGAGACTGGATTTTAAGTTGTTGGTGCTAGATCTATGCTGCAATAATTTTGTAACTGTGTGTCGTTTGATGCAGAGGTCAACAGAGCTGTATTTCAACTTAATACCACTTAATACAGCCAACTGTATCACATGTTGCCTACTAACAAATTATTTTATTTTTTTTGGAGACAGTCTTGCTCTGTCACCCAGGAAGGAGGGCAGTGGCGTGATATTAACTCATTGCAACCTCTGCCTTCCAGGTTCAAGTGATTCTCATGCCTCAGCCTCCCAAGTAGCTAGAATTACAGGTATGTGCCACCATGTCCAGCTAATTTTTGTATTTTAGTAGAGACAGGGTTTTGCCATGTTGGTCATGGCTGGTTTCAAACTCCTGGCCTCAAGTGATCCACCCACCTTGGCCTCCCAAAATGCTCGTATTACAGGTGTGAATGCCATATCTGGCCAACAAATAATTTTATGCCGCAGCACTAAAGCATTTGTTGTACATACATTACTCACAGTTTCCTCTGAGTTTATCCTCAGTAGAGGCAGAAAATAGACTCCTTTTTCCACAGAAACCTCCCTTTGGGTCCCTGGAGAATTTGTGTAGGCTAGCATGACTGGAGTTGGAACTATCCCTAGCTAGTATTAGTGCACAATGAAATGCTAGCAGCAGGTCCCTGCAAAGGGAAGAAACCCACAATGGCTAAGGCGATAACTGGGCTATGGGCTGGTTCCCTCAGGGATGGCCAGCAGCTCAAATCACAGTGTTCCTGCGGATGTGATTAACTTGGGTTGATCTAGGCTGGCTTTAGTAGCGCCAGGAAGTCTGTCCTGAAGTGTGAGGTACAGCAATGGGAGTCTCTAGACAGTGCAATACTGCAAGCTGTAGCGCTGGGGAGAATCCAGGCTACAGTTATGTGCAGGGGAGTTGGGAGGAATCCTCTGGTGAGAAGGGTCTGGCAAGAGCTGGATAAGTTGTTAAGGACCCAGGCAAGCAGGGTAAGATCCAGAGCAGAGGACCATCCCAGCAAGGAAAGGAGCCAGTGAGAAGCTAAGGCTACAGGGGAACAGCTGTGTGTGCACTTGGGCTCCTGGGCCACATTTGGCTCTGAGCTAAGGACACAGACTCATCACAAAGCCTCAACAGCTGATGAAAGCAGAATTCCTATCCTATGGTTATACTTGATCAGGATGAGCTCTCATATTAGGTAGGCTGCAACCTGCCATATCAGCACATAGCAGGGTTGCTATTTCAAAAAACCTAAATTATATTCAGGATATGAATTCAAAACTCATAGCCTAAAACTGCTTACTCCCAAAATAAATGATAAAGGTACAAACAGGTAGAAGGATATTCTTAGAAAAATCAGCCCTGAATTAGGTCTAATTAAAATATGACTTATTAGGCTGGGAGTGGTGGCTCATGCCTTTAATCCCAGCATTTTGGGAGACTGAATTGGGTAGATCACTTGAAGTGGGGAGTTCGAGATCAGCATGGCAAACATAGTGAAAACCCATCTCTACTAAAAATACAAAAATTAGCCAGGTGTGGTGGCGCGTGTGTGTAATTCCAGCTACTTGGGAGGCTGAGGCAGGAGAATGACTTGAACCCAGGAGGTGAAGGTTGTAGTGAGCCGAGAACATGCCACTGTATTCTGGCTCAGGCGACAGAGTAAAACTCTCTCTCTCTCTCTATATATATATATATAATTTATATATGTATGACTAATTAACTGTAATGAAATTTTTAACTTACCACAAAAATGACACAACAGAAATCTGACTAACGACAACCAGACACTGCTTGCTAGGCAGACACTAAGGTTTCAGGAAATCCCCGGAGTTCTCTGGTAGGAGTAAGGCACTTCGAAAACATGCTTCTTAAGCACATTCCTATCCCAGAGCTGATCATAGTAATATTCTCTTACAATCCCCAGGCAAGGTCAGAATTACTGCCCAAGGGTTTTCTAAGTGGGAATCAGCCAACACTTCTAGACTGTCTTGCTGTAATTGTACCTTCCTTCCTAACAAAGATTTCTCCCCTTGAATCTGAACCAGACCATAGGCCTCTTTAGGTGAAGTTTTTCTGCTTAGAGAGTGGAGGGCTAAAGTTCTCCAAAGTGATCTTTAAATTTATATAATCAGACAGTATGGAACCTTATTTTAATCTCTGTGGTGACAAGATTTAGTTTTCCCCTAATTTCCTCCTGTAACAAAGAGTTTTAATATGAATGTGTATTTTCTTTCTCTCTCGGCATCTCTCTCACATATAATTATATACTCATATTACAGTCAAGAAAACTGAGGTTAAATGATTTTCCCAAGATCACATAGCTATCTAATGGTTAAAAATAGCAAAAAATAAATTCTTCCAATTCCAATTTAATGATTTTCCCAATGTGTCATACAACTATATTACCATCTTTAATCATTTTTTAAAATTTCATCACAAAAATTGAGTTGATTACTATTATTATTTTTGAGACAGGGTCTCACTCTGTCACCTAGGCTGGTGCACAGTGGTGTAATCGTGGCTCACTGAAGCCTTGAACTCCTAGGTTCAACAGACCCTCCCACCTCAGCCTCCTAAGTAGCTGGGATTACAGGCATACACCACCACACCTGGGTAATTTTTGTTTATTTGTAGAGAAGGTTTTTCATCATGTTGCCCAGGCTGGTCTCAAACTCCAGAGCTTAAGCAATCCACCTGCCTTGGCTTCTCAAAGTGCTGGGATTACAGGCATAAGCCATTGCGCCTGACCAAATACTGAGTTTCTTAATTTCCCCTAAACCCGCCCCACCTTCTGTCTCATGGATTTGTCTTTTTTTTTTTTTTAACAAGAACTTCATATTTTCTGTTTCTAAAATATGTAAATAAAAAATTATTTCAGTGGGATTTTCTGTATTATACAAAGGAGAAATTACAGTGTTGTTAAAAAAAACTGTGAAGATTAAGATAGTATATTCCTCTGAATATCATTTAAAAAATGAATTCAGGGCTGGGCACAGTGCCTTACACCTGTAATCCCAACAGTGTGGGAGGCTGAGGTGAGCCGATCACTTGAGCTCAGAAGTATAGCCTGGGAAACATGGCAAAACCCCGTCTCTCAAAAAAAAAAAAAAAAAAAAAAAAATTAGCTGGGCATGGTGGTGCGTACTTGTAGTTCTAGCTACTTGGCAGGCTGAGGTGGGAGGATTGCTTGGGCCCAGGAGGCAGAGGTTGCAGTGAGCCAAGATTGAGCCACTGTACTCCAGCCTGGGCAACAGAGTGAAGAACCTATATCAAAAAAAAAAAAAAAAAAAAAATAGAATTCAGGGCTGGGTGTGGTGGCTTATGCCTGTAATGCCCAGCAGTATGGGAGGCCAAGGCAAGAGGAATGCTTGAAACTAGGTGGTTCAGGCTACAGTGAACCATGACTGTGCCACTGCATTCTGGCCTAGGTGACAGAGTGAGACCTCACCTCAAGAAAAAAAAAAAATGAATTAGGAAACTTTGAATTTGCTAAGGAATTATAATAGGATAAGACAGTATATAGTTAGGTGTGGTGGCGTGTGCCTGTAGTCCCAGTTACTTGGGAGGCTGAGGTGGGAGAATCACTTGAACCTGGGAGGCAGAGCTTGAAGTGAGCTGTGATTATGTCACTAGGGTCCAGCTGGGTGACAGATCCAGATCCTGTTTCTAAAAACAAAAACAAAAATATCCCAAACAAACAAACAAAAAACAAAAAAAGAATTAAAATAGAGAAATCAATAATTGTATTATATTTGTACTTTAGTTCATCTGTTCCCTCTTGCCCCTGCCCCAACTCATGACATTTACTGTAAGGCTGCTATCCTACTACTGTGAAGAGGACATTTTTAGGCAGTTGTCTGTACTCCTAGGGCTAGGGGGATATAGCCAGGACTGCTTGCTGACTACTAATTCAATATGCCATCACAAGATTCACTGCTTTTGTCTGAGCTACAGCAGGAGGTTGCTGAAGTGAGGCACAACACTGCATGAAGAT